GTTCAGCAGGTCATATCACAACACAGTATTTTATTACTTCTGGGTACTGGCATAGTTAATGAACGATCGGTTTCATTTACTTTAATCCTTTTATATGGCATGGTATTTTTTGTATCGACTCTTTCGGTAACAAATAGCTTTATATATCGCTATTTACATCTGTGCAGGTAAATAAGACTATATTACATATATTACAAGACTATTTACAATATATTACACATCTGGCAATTTTTCGAAGGAACCTGTAAAACGTTAAAATAAAGCAGTATAATCCGCACTTTCACCACAAAACGTATCTCTAGGATCGATCTCCTTCAAAAAGTATCCTCAAAGCAGTTTATTTTGATTGGTTGTTTGCTCAACTTGATCATTTTGGGGAACGTTTTCTATGTTCTCCATATGGCCATATTACCTGGTGAACGTTTTGTTGATTTCGTTACAAAAACCGTTATCGTCGATGGTATCAATATGAGTGGAGCAGGTTTTTTTGGTTTTTCGATGAAGGTGAGGCGGCTCTTGTCGAATGAAGTCTAAATGTAAGAACCAAGGTCAAAGTTCATTATTCTTTGTCAGTATTTTCCTAAAATTGAGTAATGTTTGCGATTATGTTGGAGTAAGATAATGGCACGTAGAATCGCTCCCTTTGATCGCTCAATTCAAACAGTTCTTCACTGACCTGCAACTGATACCTTTGGGCCATACTTTACTGGGAAGGCAGAAACATCGACTTCAAGTGCCCTGTATAAATTGAACCACACATATGCTCAGTAGGTTGCCTTAAAGTTCGGTTGAAGTGGGCGATGTATCCGAGTTACATCTATTGCTGTATTTAGTCTAAACGCAGGTCAAATACGTAGACATTTTAGCGAGGTAGTGATCAGCTGCTTCGGAAGTTTCCATTCTTCGAATTGAGTTGAGTGATTAATATACAAAATATAGAAAACATCATTCCTAACCTTCATAAAAGAAAAAAAGGCATCACAAACGAAACATGGTGAAATTCAATTCTGAGAATCAGTATGCCTGTACTGCTGATTGGTTTTCTTTCAGTACTGTATGGAAAGCTTTCGTCTGGCACTGATTATTGAACTGATACTTCTATTGAGCTTAATTGCTTTTGTAAATGTATTTTGTGCTATAAAAATCAAATTCTATCTGAAGAATACCAAACAAACCAGTAACTTTTTGTCACTTCAGCGTCAAATGTTTCTACTATTGCTATTACAGGTGATATTTAAATTTCACATCTTGCATTTTAGGGCATTCTAAGCATTAAGGGCTTTAAAATGCATTTGGAAAAGGGACTTGTTATTTGATATAGGTTCTTCCCGGGAAGCTTAAAGGCATTGGGACACGACAACGAGGCAACTCCAAGCTCTGACAAACCAGTGGAATGGCAAATAGTCACCGTTAGTTAACCATGACGCTAGTATGACCGATTTCTTGAATTCCCATCATCCTCGAGGAAGCAATAGGGAAGAAGCTTTATGGGACATGGCATGACGTCATCTGGATCTGGATGCCTTCTGGATTAGGGCGCTTGTTAGAGGGACAGAAAGGAAGGAACATGTAAAATCTCACAAATGGAAATTGGCGATGGCAAGGTAGGCAAAATGAAGCAAATCCCGGTTTCTACTTGGTCTTGCTCCTTCAGATGCCCACTAATCCAAGGGAGGTTCAATGTATGCAAGGTTGTTGGTTGCTCCAATATCACTTCTTTCAGGCTGCTTGTCCGATCGTATTCTTGGTGACACCGTATTGCTTTGCTGTATTTCTACTTTTCACTGGTATTGACTCTAACCAAATCATCACAGTCGTGCTTTCGACTCTTCTGGCCTTATATCCGATTTTCAACCCAATTATTATTATTACCTTCATGAAGGAGTACAGAAATTTTATTGCCATCAAACTAAAGCTGACTAACTCACATGGACAATCCAATATGCCGTTTTTTCTTAAGAACTTTAAATTAGCTAGTGTCCATCTCATATAAAGTAGTTTTCACGGACTTCCTTCCTTACTCGCTTTACTCTTTACTCTTCAATATTAATGAAAATAATGCAATCTTAATCGAATCTGTAGTGGTTTGAAAAATGGTAATTTGCAGTAATGTATTATAACCCAGTTTGTGAGAGAATTGGATCAGAATTCAAAATCAACACAACTCAGAATTTGGCATTTATTCGCTGTTTTTTATCTATTAATATGTTGACTGTATAAGATCTCAAAAAGAAGAGACATCAAAGCAGATATATTGAACTAGACGAGTTGTACTAAATTGGTCTTTGTCAAGCTGAAGCTGTTGAACTCCTTCATCGACAATACTTTACTGTCTAAAGGTATCATTATCAGATAGATAGAATTATCAATAGTACCAGCAATATAATCCATAGTGATAATAATAGGATGGGTAGTATCCTCCTCTGTAGTAAAATGTTCCCAAGTGCGGATTCATAGGAGGGAGCTTAACCGTAGCCTCCTTGCCCTGAAGCATGAAAACTTGGCTTAACGGTTTCAGGTAAAGAACCTGTACAGGCCGAGATGTTTCTCTGAAATATATATGCATAATGTAATGTATATATGTCAGGTAGATCCCTGAATTCGCAAAAAGCAATCTGCAGCCTTGTCAACTTGTGGCAAGTATTGAATCGAGCAGCCTTCTTCATGGTCTCTCGTGCAATATACTCAATAAACCGGATAGAGCGCCAGACGTCGTACGCGAGATTGATAAACCCATCTGAGCTCGGATCTGACTCACAAACAAAGAAGTATTCGCCGCAAGACGGGATATTCTCCTATTGTTCTGAGCATACAAAATACGTGGACGGTCAGGAATAGGTTGTGAGCAATGGTGCCGCCGCCAGGGTCTTGAATGAATCTAGCATTGCATGAAAATGAGTGGCCCAGTTGCCGTGTCGAAAGGATGTGCACACTCGAAATTTTTTATTTCAAAGGTAACTAAAGAACCTACCGTAACGGAACCATTTTCAAACGATTCGTCGTAGTCGATAACCTTTACATAAATTTAGGGGGCCCTATTGATTTCTGATCTCGTTTACATTTTTGTTTTTTGCTAAGTGTGCACATACTTTTGAAACAGAGAAAAAATTTTTCTCTAATAAAAAACTGTGTTAGAAGCTACGATATTTTCTCAGAGAGAGTGCTCGTAGGTCATCGCATACAGGGAATTGAATGGTGAAGGTCACAGGTTACAGAAAGCAATGGTATCCACAAAAAAACAAAATGTTGGGCGTGCGCATACTTTTGAAACGCACTGTACCTAAAGGTTATACCTTAGATCAATGTATGCGCAGTGTAATCATCGTCCTGAACAGAGTCAGCCTGATTTGTTTTACAGTACACGCATTTCACATGCTTATCCATTCTGTGGTATTTTCGAGAGTCCTTCGCATTCAGTTCATTGACCCTCAGTTTCTTGACCTCTGAACCTCGCTTTGAACTACTTACATTAGGGGTCACATTGAAGAATTTGTATTGAAAATCGTGCCCAGTATGTTTTCCAGGTTGTAGTCTCCCTGAAGGTAGAAGCATCAATGAATTACTGTGTAGCTACTTATTCAGAATATCTTTTCTTCAGAATCTGGATGTACAGGGTGTCCCGAAATTATTGGCGCCAAAATTCAGGAATTTTAAGGTACAAATAATACATCAAATTCACATAACCTGTTATTAATTAGTTGCATAAGAAGATTTCCTTGCAATATGCATGGCTACTGATGTGGAACTCTCAATATCTTTCAGATGAAGGACCTGCAGCACCTTCTTCGCGAAAAGGAAGTCCCAGAAGGTAACCTACAGCAGTGGAGGGAAAGAAACGGAAATAGATCATGTGCTGGTAAGAAGATCGTCCCTCAAAACTGTAAAGGACATCAA